AGGGGGTGAAATCATGTAAGAGAGCTACTTGGCTACTGACTGGACTAGGCTGGATAAATTAGGGAGGGAGAGGGGCACTACTCAGGTTGAGAGATGAAATAAAAATATGAGGAAACTATGATTTTTACCTGTTTCTGGGGGGAAAATCATGCAGAGCAATGTGAGTAATATGGGCACACCAAAACAAAGAAGAAAGAATTCCTTTCCGAACATGGAAAGATTTTATAGGGATAGCAAGTCCTTCTAAAGACAATTAAAATAAAGGTTTTTTGAATCAGGCCTGGAAAGAGTGTGATCAAATAAATGGAATTATATGGGGTACATCAGATTACATTTGAACATCTGGGTCTGGCCTCAAAGGCCAGGTGGGTCCCTTCACGTTCTGATAGAGCTATTATGGGTCCTTATCTTTTGCTGGCATATTAAAATAAGATTTTCTTTTTCATTATAGGTTGAATGGAGAACATATTGTACAGAAGGGTAAATGGATGGACATGGAACATGCAGCTAGAGCCTCCAGTGTAAATGCTTCTTCCTCATGCTTGCTTGTTTGATCTAGTTTTATTTCCATGTAGAATATGGTTAGGAAGAGTTGGAATTTAATATATTTCAAGTGAAAGTCCGAAGAACATTCTTTCAGAAAACTATAACCTGAACTGAGGACTTTTCTGTCTTTTCAGCTGAAAAATGCAACAGGAATGAAAGCACACAAACCTATTAATGAAAATGTGGACAATAAAACATAATTTATTGACCTTTTGAATCTTCAAAATCCAAAGGAATTCAAAATCCAAAGGGAGAACCAGTGAAATTTGGGAGGACATATCAATAGCTAATCAACGAATCGAATAATGAGACAGTATACTTATGGCAAAAATGGCTGATCCGCATGGCCAGATAGCCTAGTCAGGTGTTTGAACCCCAACCATTTCCAGGGGGAGGATGAGATAGCAATAGCAATAGCACTTAGATTTATATACCACTCCATAGTGCTTCGCACAACTCTCTGAGTGGTTGACAAACATTAGCATATCTGGAACAAAACTAAGGAGAATCTAGGTCCTTATTTTACCAACCTTGGACGGATGGAAGGCTAAGTAAACCTGGAGCCAGTCAGAATGGATCTCCTATCCGTGGGCAGAGTTAGCCTACAATACTGCATTCTAACCACTGCGCCACCAAGGCTCCTAGTATGATGTTATCCTACACCCCTATCTTCCTGCTTCAATATGAAAAATAAAGTCATTTCTGGCTTTTTCCAGTCCAGAAGTGTTCCCCAGTTTGCTTCTTCTGCTCTTCTTCCATCTGAGCAACTCCTGCCCTTCACGCACCCACTGGGTGTTGTGGCAGGGATGGTCCCTCTCCCGGGTTAATGGTTGCTGCCCCGCATACCGTAGACATTCACTGGATATATAGAAATTATATTGTCCATTATGCTTAACAATTTCCAATGCTTAAATATGCTTGCATGAGGAACAGGGCTAGGAAAGATTGGAATTTAATATTTTTATTTAAAGGAACACCTTTGGCCACAGATTTTGCCTTGATTAATTTCTGATGTGTCATTGATTTTGACTGTACTGCAATTGCTTCATTTACTGTAACTGATTAGTCTGCTTCAATCTTTATGAAATATATATATCACTGGAGCAGAACATACTTAGCTCAGGACTGAACCCAACATGTAAATCTGATTTTACATGAAGTTCTCACAATTTTTCTATAAATTGTTGCTGGTTTGCCTGTCACCTCAATAAATTTTGAACTGATTTTTTTTCAGTGT